TAAATTGTAAGAAAATATCAGGCTGGAGCCGTTGTTGGTGCGGGCCACGACGGGCGCGAACGAGCGGGGGCCCCGAAGGGCATACGTATAGGGGGCCGCAGAGGGCAGCGACGGAGCCACTGATGACAGAAACGGGGCCACGAAGGGCAGAGAGGGGGCCACGAAGAACGACAGCGGGGCCACGAACAGCATGCATATGGGGCCACGACGGGCGCGAACGAGCGGGGGCCACGAAGGGCATACAACAATTGGAGCCAGAAAGGGCGACAGCGGGGCCACTGAGAGCAGAGGTGGGCCACGGAGGGCGGCGAGGGGGCCACGAAGGGCGACAGCGGGGCCACGAAGGGCATGCGTATGGGACCACGACGGGCGCGAGCGAGCGGGGGCCACGAAGGGCATTTAATCCAGGGCCAAAGAGGGCAGCGACGGGGCCGCTGAGGGCCGCACCGGGGCCACGAAGGGCATTCGTGTATGTGGCCACAAAAAGCGACAGCGGGGCCACTGAGGGCAGCAAAGGCGCCACCAAGGGCAGCGAGAGGGCCACGAAGGGCGACAGCGGGGCTACGAAGGGCATGCGTATGGGGCCACGACAGGCGACTGCGAGCGGGAGCCACGAAGGGCATATAATGCGGGGCCACAATGGGCAACGACGGGGCCACTGAGGGCAGCAACGGGGCCACGAAGGGCAGCGAGCGAAGGCAACCGCGGAACCAGTATGGGCAGCGAGGGGCATCAAGGCGGGTGGAGGGCAGCGAGCGGCGACTGCAGTCCCTAACAGGCTGGTCGGGCGGGCAGGCCCAAACAGGCGGGTCGAGCGGGCGGGCCGTTAAAGCGTAAATTCTACTTGAACCGCCAAGCAATATGCAGCGGGAGCGCGATTCCTGAGTGTCGAGGAGCGGCATCTGAATAAGTTGTGAGGAGGTATCAAGTGGGAGCCGCGATTCGGTGGTAAGTTGCGACGAAGTCCCAAGCGAGAGCGCGATTCTTCAATAAATTGTGAAGAAGTATCAAGCGGGAGCCGCGGTCCGGTGGTAAATCGCAAGGAAGTCCCAAGCGAGAGCGCGATTTTTCAATAAATTGTAAGGAAGTACCAACAACGCAGTTTGACCCTCAAGACTTTCCTTGGTAAAACACAGAGTGCGAGCCCCGGGAAGGGCACTTCAATCCAAGAAAAACATGTGCACCAAACGGGGGGATCAACAATAATTATTCTTCCGAAAAGAGAAATCATCAACAACAACAACAACAACAACAACAACAACAACAACAACAACAAACACAACAACAACAACAACAACAACAACAACAACAACAACAACAACAACAGCAACACCAACAACAACACCAACAACACCACCACCAACAACAACAACGACAACAAAAACAACAACAACAACAACAACAACAACAACAACAACAACAGCAGCAACAACAACAACAACAACACCAACAACAACAACATCAACAACAACAACAACAAAAACAACAACAACAGCAACAGCAACATCAACAACAACAACAACAATTACATAACAACAACTACAACAACAACATCAACGACAACAGCAACAGCAACAGCAACAACAAAAACAACAACAACGATTAAACAACAACAGCAAAAACACCAATCATAGTAACAGCCACAACAGCAACAGCAGCAGCAACAACTACAACAATCAGTTTCAGACTGTGGGCCTCTCTGGACAAAGGCTCCCGGAATACCTATGGAGAAATATCGAACGGGAGCCCTTGTCGCCGCGTCAGGGCCTCCACCAACTTGCCTGAATTACGGGAATGTCTCGAGCGAGAGCGCCGTTCCTGAGTTCGGGACATTCTTGGCCAGGGGCTCTCGGAGTAAATCGTGAGGAAGTATCGAGCAGAGCCCTTGTCGTTGTGGCTGGGCCTCCGCCAACTTGACAGAATTGCGAGGACGTGTCGAGCGAGAGCGCCGTTCCTGAGTTCGGGGGCCTCTCTGGCCACGGTGTCTCGGGGTAATTTGTGAGGAACTATCGAGCGGGACCCGTTGTTGTCGCAGCTGGGCCCCCAAGCCAACGCTCGAGCGGGAGCCCCGTTTTTAGAGAAACTGCAGCCAGCGTCGAGGCGAGAGCGCGCGGAACCGTTTCCAGAGATCAACCATTTATTCTTTCGAAATTAATATTGCACACAAAAAACAACAACAACAACAACCACAACAACAACAACAACAACAACAACAACAACAACAACAACAACAACAACAACAACAATTACTAGCACGTGGGGACACTCCGTTCTCACCAGTGCCAGGGTTTTCATAGGAGGCGGGCAATACCCCCACTTTGTGGGGGGGCCGGTTCAAGCTCTACCAAATTTCCAAACGACTCTTCGCCACCACCCACACCCAGCTTCCCGCCCTATGACGTTCGGACACTTCACTTCGTGGCATGCGGACGACCGTGGCTACTATTCAGGGCCCCGCGGCCGACGACGACGGCGTGCGCGCGCGAAGAAAAAACGAATG